CTAGTAACATTCTCTGGAGGATGTTGTCAAGAATAGAATCAGGAAAATATTGGTCATTTTTAGATGGTTGCGTCCGCCCACCCAAAAAACAAAGAAAAGAAAAGAATACAAAAGTGCCTGTTTTTAATCTTTCTCATTTGTTACGAGCAAAAACCATCGCATTATTTGATATAGAATTTATTTTCCGAACCCTCTCCCCCCCCCCCCCCAAGCAAAAGAGTCCCTTTTATATTCTTTGTATCAAAGAGGTGAGAAAGAGAAGACAAAGATTGTGTTTATAAGAAAGAAACTGAAATAGAGAGACAGACAAGGCAGAGAGACAGAGAGAGGAAGGAGAGGAAAGAAAGAGGGTAAATGGAGAGAGATGGAGGGGGCAGAGATAGTATATTGAACGAATGAAAAACATTCATTATTTGTTTTATACAACATCAAAGAAGATCTAATAGAACGTTAATCAACAAATTATGCTTTACTCCTTATATTAAAGTTGGAGTCAAGCCTTCTCGATTACATACATTCAGATTGCCTTCGCGTCAGATACACTCAGGGATACGCGCACGGCAGAGGTACGCACTCTGCATATAACCAAAAATGCATGGCGCATATAACCAAAAATGCACGCCCGTGCAATATAACATCTATTGAATATCATGTGACCAACAATCCTCCAATCAAATGACAGGTGTTGTATAAAAAGAAATAATGAACATCGGCGGTAGTGAATGGATGTGAAGGTGATTTTCAGGCCAAAACGAACAGAAATCGTCATGAAGTGACAAAATAATAAATCAAAATAATTGGAATATCTTACAAAAGGGAATCGTTTGCAAGTCAATCTGTCAAAAAAGTCTAAATATCAGAAAACGGTATGTACTTTTATGAGGAATAACATTTTAAAGGTACCAAAGTGTCTGTCTTCCTCGCTCGCTTCGCTTGCTCGCAACATTAATCAAAGGTTCAAAGCAGCAATGTTTGGATACCTGCACTTTTATATTATGTTGTGTTATGTTAATATCTAACTTATCTTCTATGTTTATACTTTGATCATCTTTCGTTGAGTCAGTGAGCCATCGGTCGGGTGTGAACTTGTGACCAACGACCGCAAATCGGGTCACTACACACTACGATAACTTTCCCACAGCAAATACTCCCGTAAAACTATCTTCTAAAGTAAATAGTAAATACACCATCTGACGAAATGTCATATATAGTCAACGTGTAGTTGCCCGGGGTTTAGTCATAGAGGAGATTATTATGAGAAAGTAACTGATTGGAGGGGGCGGTCTTACGGGAAAGTTTTCCGGGATCAAATCACAGAGATAAAGATTGTAATGTCAAAAAAGTCTAAATATCAGAAAACGGTATGTACTTTTATGAGGAATAACATTTTAAAGGTATCTGTGTTATCTGTTTTTAGCAAAATATTTGAAAAGATTTTATGTGATCAATTGACTTGTTTTATTAGTAAAAATAATATTCTGTATGAAAATCAATTTGCTTTTAGAAAAGGATACAGTACTTGCCATGCTCTTCTTGATTTTATTGATAAAGTTGCAAATGCTTTTGAACTTAATGAATTTTTAATTGGTGTATTTCTAGACTTATCCAAAGCGTTTGATTGTATTGATCATAATATTTTAATAAATAAGTTATGTTTTTATGGTATAAGAGGAATTCCTCTTCTTTTAATTAAAAATTTTTATCAAACCGAAAGCAATATGTTAGCTTTGGTAATTATTACTCTGATCACAGCACTATTTTAACTGGTGTGCCGCAAGGTTCTAATCTTGGCCCGCTCCTGTTTTTACTGTATATCAATGACTTGCCATCTGTAAGCAATATTTTATCTTCTATTTTATTTGCTGATGACACCACTCTGTTTTTATCTGGTAAAGATCCCGTAGAAATAAATATTCTATTGAATTCTGAAATTGTTAAAATACACAAGTGGTTCCTTGCAAATAAATTGTTGATTAATTTTGAAAAAACAAACTATGTAATTTTTAAAACAAGAAATAAATATGTAAATGAAGCTGCTATCAAGATTTGTATAAATAGTAAAGAAATTAAGCAAGTACACCAAGTTACTTTCTTAGGCGTCATTATTGATGAAAACTTGACGTGGAAGGACCACATTTATTATATTTCTAACAAGCTGTCAAAGGTCATTGGTGTTTTAAATAGACTCAAAGATATTTTACCATTACGCATACTTGTACAATTGTATAACTCTATGATTTTGCCTTATTTTAATTATTGTATTATTGTATGGGGCAACTGCGCTTCGTATCTGCTTCAAAAGCTATTTTTATTACAAAAAAGAGCCGTCAGGGTTATAACAAACTCATATTATAGAGCACATACAGGTACATTGTTTTTTAAGCTGAAGTTTTTAAAACTTTATGATCTATATGATATAAGTATTGGAGCTTTTATGTTCTCTTACATGTACAATATAACTACTTTACCTGATTGTTTTAATAATTATTTTATTTTCAATAGAGATATAAATCAATATAGTACTAGAAATTCACACAAACTTTATGTTCCTTCATTTCGCTATAATTTGTCAAGAACAGTAATAAAATATAAAGGATCCATTATTTGGAATAACTTACCAGATTCTCTCAAAGCATGCCCAACATTGTCTAGTTTTAAGCGTAATTTTAAACACAAACAAATATCAAGTTACAATATACTTTTTTAGCTTTTATTAATTCTGCCTGTCCTTGTATGTGTGTTTATATGTCTTAGTTAATGTAATGTCTATATTGTCAATATTTTGCTTTTAATTATTGAAGATTTTACTTTTGGGGTTGTAGAAAAAGGGGACCAGCCTAGATAGGTCAATGGCCTTTGCTGGTCCCTCACATCCCTACTCCACCCATTAATCAATTTTAGTGTTACTGTTGTTGTTTTATTTGTTCTTATTATATTTTATATATATTGCATTTTGTATAATTGTATTTTTAATGTTATAATGATGTTTTTATTGGATGTGAAATAAAATGAACTTGAACTTGAATGTCAACAGCGACGTGTGAGTCATGGTTATCACTTTATTTTTCAATTGCGGGTAAGGATCCTAAAACAGGCATCTGAACTAGGGATGGACGTGGAGAACCAACATCCCCTGTCGACCTAATGAAGATGGGGCCAACATCTTCTGTCGTCCTAACGAACGTTATCAAATTGCCCCTCCCGAAATTTAAATTGTCCCATCCAACTAAAGTTCTTTCTCTTTCTGTCTCTCCCTTTCTCTCTCCCTCTCTCTTTATCTCTGTCTCTCTCCCTCTCCCTCTTACCTACCTAATGAAGAGGAAGAGTTCAAACTGAGAGTGCCCCATTTGACATTGCTCCCACCCGTATTTTCAAAACAATACCTGTCATCAGAGACAGATTGGGTATCCATTACAACTCCACGTGCTCATATCACAAGTATATGTGGTTCTTATGCCTCTGTAGCTTTCCCGCAGACATAATTTGATAAAAGTCTTGGTTTCCAAATCCTTCATCAATCAGCTATAATTATGAACAAAAGACCGTATTGGTATCTCGATTACTATCAACTGATCACCTGTTCACAATAATAGCATTGCATGATTTTTATACAATGCCCACTCACAAAATCCAATTACATTTTAAGCAGATACTATGTCAGAAATCCCCAAGCAACACCATGAAAAAAAGGATCTCAATGGGCTATTATATGAAAACATGCAGTGCAAAATGCAACAAGATACTCACTGTCTTTTGTTCATGTTTATCTAGCTGAATGACTGGCATGATGATGTCACAAAAGTCATTTGTTTTTGGAGGGTTTATTTTAGGGGTGAAGCTTAGCAGGTAGAACAAAAGTAATAGCAAAAATGATATAAAACATATGAAATAAATGTACATCAAAAAGTCCAAAGATATGTGATGTATACATTATTACAGAGCAACATAAGTCAACTTGAATTCGAAATTTAGCGGCCTCATGATAATATAATATCGTGTATCTATTTCATAATCTAAATAAGACAGTCAACCATTTTTTTAAAAATCCAGTTGATCATGTCGATAACATAACTAGGATAACAATCTCTCAGAAGATTGCGGTTTCCTTGCTAGCCATTATTTTATGAAAGCTGTCATTTCCATTGAAAAATAGTGATATCAGAGTAGTACATATCCATTGACCTGCATAAAATGGCGGGTAGGGTGCTGCATAATGAATGACTGTGGGTATCTCACAAGTTATGATACACTGACATCACTATTTTAATTAAAATGGCAGCTCCCGTGAGAGAATGGCTAACGAGGAAACTGAAACACTTTAGAGAGGTTTTTTTTCTTACTAAAGCAATCAGTCACATTTTTTTGGTTTACTAATTGGTCCTCAAAGGATTTATTTTGCCACTGCTCTTACAACAAACATTCGTTGTGAGAATCACTGCGAGGAATATAATGATGTATTTCTCGTGGGTGTAAAACGTGTGGCAACGTTTCATATTGTGTCTTTATATGAAATTCATTAAATTGTATTTTTTGTAGTGGGCTAAGTGTGTTCCCACGATCAAGTCGTCACATGTACGACAATTTGATGTAAAGTGTAAACTGTGTACATTTAGGCTCCATGGTAACACAGTGTTTTGCGAAGTTCAACAGAGTCACTCAATGTGGGAAATACACTTTCCACAGCCTGCAAACTGTCTTCAGTGATTACATGTATATCTAATGTGTTTTTAGTTACATAATCCAAAGGACGTAGATTATCTCCGACTTCATTTTAGAACTACATTTCTATTTAATGGACTGTTTACAATGCCGTGTATTACTTGTAATACCTGCACTGTACATGGGACAGTCTGCAGGACCACTTTGTTAATTCCGGCCCTCATTCCCGTATTCAAGAACCGTAACACCAAGAAAACACAAAGCTTGTTCCATGCGATCATTTAAATACTAAATCATGTAACAAATTCAAAATAAGATAGAGAGAGTGAGAGTGTACATACCACAGTCTTCTTCATCTGAGAGATCCAGGCAGTCGGGAAACCCGTCACACATTCTTAATTTCTGGTAGCACTGTCTGCCATTTTTACACCGATTCGAGTCCTCTGGACAATGTCTGTGTTCTAAGGAAATACAAATGAAAAATAAATAGCCTGTATATTAGAACTCTGAAAACGTCTATCTTTAGGGCAATATCAAAGGCGAATGTCTCAAAATGGTGCATTCTACCAAGCTTGTAAGATATTCAAAAGGCAATTCTTGAAAATTATCTTACTTTTGTGCTCTTGGTTAACAATCATCAAGTTTTTGATAAACCAATTCGTAATAAGAAAATTGTATAAATGACCCCAAATTTCTACAGATATTTAAAACATTTATGGAAAAATTCCACTTTATGCATTGTCACTGCCAAAATAATGGAGTTTCTCCATGAATACCCATGGTTTGGCCCCTTGACAATAATACTTTCACATGTGTTCCATATAATGTACAATCGGTGCATAAATGAATAATGATTACACAGCTGTCATAAGCACGTATCTAGAATTCGTCTAGTCCAGATTCTGTCCTTTATATAATAATAATAATAATAATACATATGATTTATAAGGCGCCAAATCCACTTGACAGTCAAATGCTCAAGGCGCAGCTTGTGCAAAAGATGAAATACATACATGATACATACATACACCCCACAAAGATCGCGCGACCCCCGAAAATACGCCCGTCGAAACAAGGGTGAAAAAGAATGAAAGGCAAGGACTGTCTTCGGTTTAGCGTTAGGGACTTTTAGATTTGTACGACAAGAACGTGGACTACTAGGTGTGACACCCTTTTAAGGCAATGTGATGTCCTTTTAAGGCACTGGCAGTTCCCGACAGTGCCTTAAAATGACGTCACATTGCCTTAAAAGGATGTCACACCTAGCAGTCCACGTTCTCATGCCATGCATTCTGACTTTTGAAATACCGCCTTCGGCATATTTTATCGCAGTGCAAACGTGAATTGCATAGGCCATTTTCGTAAGGTAATCACATTCAATGCATAAGTCTTTGTTAAGTGCCTCATTGCAAATTAGTTCATTCACCTGTTACGAATAAATATATTTTAATAGTCAGAATCCAAATTGCATACATTAGTTGTTGCTAGGTAGGCCAAACATGGCTTTTCCTACCTAACAACACGCAATGTATGCAATCGCATTCTGACTATTGAGATACAATTATTCATCACAAGGGAATGAAATAATTTGTAATCATGCATTTAACAAAGATCAATATATTAAATCGTAATTAATTACATTACGGAAATTGCCCATTTCAATAGGAAAAGCGCCCGTTGAAAGGTGACACCGTTATAAGCATATCTAATATGACCTACACTGTATTTCTTGGAAGTCTTTGCGATCCAAAAGTTAATATGAATGCTAAATTAATTCTTTGAAAACCTCTTAAAGGGCCACTCTAACAAAAACGGGCTAAAAACTGAAAAAAGACATGTGGAATAATTTTTGACGGAGATTTCGAACATGATAATGATTATTCTTAGAAATCATCAATAATTCTTGAATCTTGCTTTAAAAATGACTCAGAACGCTCAGGGGAAAAAAAGCCCAGTTTTGGAGCTGTATTGCGCAATAGCATATGACGTCACTGCAGGAGACTTTTCGATGAAAGTGAGTGTGATTTAGGCATTAAAATGTCTTTAAAAAGGCAAACTATGATATTAATTGGGGAAAAAAGACATTTATCCGAAAAATAATATGCACTTGATAATCCCAGTACGTTTCATTTACGAATTACAATGAGATTGTAAGATCCTTAGTTGTATGACAAATCTGACATGCCCGCAATGACGTCAAATGCGTCATCAAGCAACGTGACCGTATTACCTTTTTTGAGGGGCGTAGCCTAGCAAGCGTGAGATCTATGAAAATGGATGGTTATTATCATTTTTTTAAGGTCAAATTAGATAATTTCTTAAAATTCAGAGGCTGGAATATTATAGTTGGGTTAGAGTGGCCCTTTAAGATAATATCATGTTAATGCGAAAGCTCTAGATTTGGGTATTTAAACTCTTCAGAAAAGTTCTGCATTAAAGCATGAGCGTTGATATCTCTCTGCTTACAATATCATTATACTTTGCACAGCCTGTTAAATTTCCGTTGACATTGATACCACATTATTTTGTAAAAATTATGTAATCATGGAATGTGCAGTAGACCTGAATAAGGGGCTAAGTCAAAGGTGAAATATTGCAAAATACATCGTTATTTTCGTCGGTGAATTAGCATAATCTTTACTCCATACACAAGAAGAAAGCGGCCACCATTCTCGTCAATACATTATCCCTTTTTTTACCAGCTTGGTGAACGAAAATCAATATGACTTCCTATGCGTATTGTGATATACCTCACTCTATTCTAGATCACTAACAATTTCATTCACGTTTAGTTCAGAACTATTTTAATTTAAAATGAAAACTGTGTGTGAGGATACAGATGTGATGAGGCTTCATGGTTCAGGTGTGAAACTTGTTTCCGTTCGGAAACCGCCCAATCAACAATCACCTGCTTCTCTGAAAGGCGACCGGAACTCATCCTTCCTGTCGAACGGTTTTGCTTTCCATTGAGGTAGGGTTCGTTCACATGAACAGTACCATTTGAAGTCAGGGTATTCTCAAGTTGTGCAAAGAAATTCTTCCATTGTTATGCCCCCACCCCCAGAAATATTAATATTAACATTATACAGCTAACTAAATTATTAATTCTCTTACCAAGTTTTGTAATATTTTTAAGACTGTTAAAAATTGATTCGTCTTGATTTATGTTTCTTGAGAATATTACATGTTAAAGCTTACATTAGACGGGGGACGGTTGATCTCCCCGTAACCTTAGAAACTGCCTCGTCAAACATTTCAATTAAAAGATAACTCATCGTAATGCAAACACAAACGATGATGAAACATCGTTTCGTTGACAATCAGCTATGCATGAAGTCTTTCGTCTACGGCTGATTGTTAACGAAACGGAGTAAGGTCTTTTGTTGTTTCCGTTTGTTGCTACGGCAGGCAGCCAGTTAAAAACGAATTCGTTTAATAAAATTATGGAAATGCAAGCACTACTTTAAACAGAGAGAACTTTGTTATTCCTAGCTCATTTTCCTGATTGAGGGGTCATATGAAAGGGCAGAAACCCAACTTTCTAGAAATGTGATTTTCCCTTTCAAATTCAGATACCGCCCGCCAAATGACTTTTTGGTTTTCTCTCTTCAAATAAATTTTAATCACTCATGCGTGAAATATGCATTATATGAGTTGCAGCAAATAAAAGAGGAGGATCAAAGCTTTACAAATATGTGTCATTTATCAATTATAATTGTGATTAAGTTATGTTAAAAGATCGATAATTTTCGGTTTCGTCTTTTCTGGGACGCACTGTACAATAAAATTTGCTTCCGAGAAACACTCTTTTTGTCTTCGGTTAAAAGGGAGCTATTACAGGTAAGTATGAGTGAAAGCCGGGAAATTCGTTAGTCAATGGATTCGCATCTGAATGAATATTTCTGAGAAATCTCTTTGAAAGGTCTTTTTCAGATTGAGGTACAGATCTCCCTCCTTCGATGCTAAGAACGTAATATCAACACAAATAGGATTTAGGGTGACAAAGTGTCGGAGCCTGCTGACGGGACATCCCAGGTCCACGAGTTTGTCGGTCTATTGAACCGTCATAAAGTTGTCTGAAAGACGACAAAATCAAGATGTCTGCCTCGTGAACCCATCAGGTATTTTTTCCAAGACGGCCCTTCCAGTCTTCATCCAAACCTTCAGTCTCAGGGCTGTCGATCGCATAAGTTGTAGCGTGTTATTGAACCCTGAATATGAACCACCATAACCAAAATGTCAATTTAATTAGTCAAAACTTGTTTTAAAGAAAATAAACCATATACCTTGTATCGTTAATGTAAATTGATTTGTAATAAATTTGACAATTCTATGAATTCAATATTCCTTGGTGTTTTTATGTAGGTATCCAATAGAAACGATTTCCTGCATGATTGTGTACATGACAAGCAGTCCTCGAGCTACGGGGTAGGGGCATGTGGCCATATAAAACATGACGAGTTAAAGAAAGAGAGAGGACAGAAACGTGAAAATGAGAGGATAGGAACCGATTCAAACCAAATCCGTTTGCCTTAATCTCTTGCATTAAATCGCCTGCACCGAATAACAAGAGCATTGCCTCTCCCCCTCCCCCATTATACCGAGTTTCAAGTCTACTAGTCTTATTACAATATTGATATTTGATATGTTCTTGAGGGCATATCTCTCTTTTAAATAGCTTGTTATTTATCAATTTATCATGGTATTATAAATTTTAAATAGAGAGAAGAATCACGTAACAAAATAATAAACAGGGTTATAAAGTTAACAAGGCATTGAAAATTAGCAAGGACGCCGTGAATAGTATAATCTTACGTGATACAAAATTATAGTTACTACGCATTAAAGGTACTATGTCCCATTTGCAGGCCAAAAAAGTGAAAAGGTTAAATTCCAACGGCATTTAAAAGATAATACTAATTTAGAACTTCCCTAAAGAAAGTAGGGCTTGATAAAGTCTTCAAGTGGGAAAATAACGACTATTAGTTGTCAAATCGACTTAGGAGCTATAGAGCCAATAAGTAATAGTCTCGATTTTCAGACCATTGTACCGAATGGTCATCCGTTTTATGCTACGCAAAGATTCAATCAGTTTAATGTTGGCCATCATAAGAAGTGGGTTATTGATGTAGACAAGTCTCATTTATGTATGTTATTACCGGAGAAGGAAAAATATCCAGCCAGTCACTCAATAGTGTCTGACAGTGAAGTTTAGCAAGTAAACGGGTTTCCTTGCATAATTTGAATATTAGGACACTGCTAACGTTTAAATTTCACAGATAGGACATACATAACACATTCGTAATTCCTCGAAATTCTTCATAATTAGAGGTTGGCTGCAAAAGGGACATTGTACCTTTAAGAGGCATGACAAAGAATCCGAATAGAAAATTCGATTTCAAAAATTACCCCCAAAGTATTATGGACTGGAGATCTACTACATAGTTGGATACAATAGTCC